TCGGGCACGAGCTCTGAGAGCCGGTGCCCTCCTCCGCGTCACTCTGGCTCCTGTCCAGGTGTCATTTATAGCGAGTCTCGCTCCGGTGCGTCGGGAAGGGGCGGCGTGGGACCGGTCTCTGTGAAACTGCCCTGGGCACGCCGTGGCTGAGCTGTCAGATGAGAGGTTACAAGTTCAGTTGTCAAAAAGAGTGATTAAGAGTACGAACGTGGAAAGGTTGGGTCTGCTGGCAGTCTGTTCAGCTGGATGCAGGTTTTTTGAAGGGGATATTCTTAACTTGCCTTTTTAAGGGGTGATATAGCTGCCGTATGTAAAAATCACATCTGCAGCTTCCCACAGTGGCAGATCTGGTTGTGGTGGAGTGCAGAGGGAGGGTGGCTGTAGCAAGGCCTCATTTTATCCAAATCCAAGGTGTGCTGTAGAATAATACATGAATGCTTATAAAACTGCATAAAGAAATACACCAGCAGATGTACCGGAAAAAGTTGTCGGTCTTGCAGAAGTTACTAAGTCAGAGCTGTTAGCGTGGAGCAGGGATGCGGTTTTCTACAAGGGGCTGGGAGGCCCTTGGATGTGATTTCTCCAGGCAGGGAATCAGTCCAGGGATAGCCTGGATACATCTGCTGAGCAGAGCAGTGCCACGGACCGAACCATTTTCAGAGAGAAACTTTGTTGTTGAATACCTTGTGGGAAGATGTTTGGCCAGCAATAGGTGAAGGGGGTTCCTTTGCACCCCCTGCCCTGGAGCCCTGCTCCTGCTGCCCTCCAGTGTGCTTTTTGTTGTTCATGGCATACAGCATATGCTGCAATGCCAACAGTCTGAATTAGGTCCAGATTATTATTACCTTTTTTAGGGTACTTATTTAAGCCAGCATTTAGGGGCCTAGCTGTGCCTGGGATGTTGTTTCCATGGTAATTAAATAAGATATACTATGGAAAAAAAGGCCCAAACTTTGAACTTTGCATCTTGACAGCAGGTGTGCTGATGGGGAGGAGGAGTCTTGTATCTTGTCTGGTTTGTAGATCCACAGATGATTGCAGCCATCCCAGACTGTTGTAACTTCTACGGGATCTAAATTGATAAAGGATTAGACCAGTTTTATGTGTCTGACTAAGCCATCTCCACTGAAATTAATGGATGTCTTGCTAGGCACAGCTTGAGTCTTTGCATCAAATAGCTCATGAATATAAATTTATTTACTCAGCTTAAACTTCATTTGAAAAGTGCAGGTTTTTAAAACTAGTGAAGTCTTAAAAACTTTAAAACTTCACTTAAAAACCCAACAAACCAATCCCAAAACCCAACAACTTTTAATTTTAATGGAACCGAAAGCTGTCTGCTGCTGCTCCAGTACTTAGAATCTGAACAGAACCTAATCTTTAAGACCCATCTCAAATAGCTGAGGTCTTAAAACTTGTCCATTGTAGTTCAGCACAACTCTCTGAGTTCTGCTATGTGAGCATGTGTCAGAAAGTTTATAGAGTGTATTTAACCAGTCTACTTGGCAATTTTTTCCCCTGAATGGTTTCCCTTGCATTTCAGTTTTGCAAGCTAAATACAAAGTAAAGAGAGTAGATGGGCATTTGAACTCAAGTTGCTTAGTGGTTTGATGATCTGTCTCATTCTCCTGGAAGATGTTGAAAAAGTGATATCATTTTTAATTTAACTGAGTGGGCTACTTAGTAAAACCAGCGTGTTTCTGGCAGATATCTGGCAGGCTTTTGGGCCCCTTTTTTTCTTTTATGCTGCACTTGCTTACTTGTGTGTTGGCATTTGTGTGGGATTCTCCTCTGTGCTGTCTCTGAAACTGGAGAAAAATTAACTTAGCTATAGTTTATTTGTATTATTAACAGCTCATAATTCAGCTGTAAATCACCTTTATTTGGACTGAAATACTTGAATCCAGCAATAATGCAGTTTCTAATCCTGTTGGATTCAAGGCCTGCTGGAATCTGTAGGAAGATGGTTGTGTTGAGTGTAATGTTGCCAAACTTCAGACCCTCAGTAGTGACTGTCACCTGAGACATGTCATCTGTGTCGCAAGGAGTGATAAGCATTCACCTGATGAATTTGGGACACTCTGCTTATCATGTGAATCTAAAATATTACTCTATCTCTTCTTCAGATTTTTGGATTTGTTTGTTTCTTAGGTTACAATCCATGCACGTGATAGTGTAATCAAAATGTATCAATGTCTCATCAAGTGGCATTAGTTTTTAGTTTTTATGTGGCATGAGCTTTTAGTTTTTATGTGCTGGCTTTTCCTCCTGAGTTTCTAGAGTACTTGATTAGGATTTCTTTCCCACTTTTATGACTTTTTGAAGGGATTGTTCAGACAGTGCTACACACATCTGAGCACATTCTTAGTTAAGTGTTATGCTGTTGATGATAGGATGAGTCCCTAGGTTTTGGGTTTTACTTCAGTCTGTACGCACTTGGATTAGAGGCAGCATTTTGTCTGATAAGATCATATTTTACATTGTAAATGAGCATGCTGCTGATGATATAAGTGTTAATAGGATGATGGAAGTGTCTGCTAATCTGAGTAAAGTCACTTGAACCGTGGGAGGAACTTGATCAAGTCTCAAGTCCTGTAAGTGTGTCTTCTTGGATGAGCTCAGTTGAAATCTGGAGTGGAATAGCAGATTTTTTTATTGCTATAGTCAAAACCTCACCAGCTCTAGTGATGTTAATTAGGCTCAAAGTGCTAAGATTTCTTGTGAGTTTTCAAATTTCTCAGCATTTCTGAAAAGTAACAGAGCACAATTGCTGTTCTGAAGAGCTCTTTGCTCGCTGCTCCCTGCAGCACTGCTGACACACTCCCAGAGGAGTAGAAGCCATGGGGATCTGGGAGCTGCATGTCCTAGGCAACACGTGGGAATTGTTCCCTGAAGGTGTGGGACCCTATTTCACATGGGTACAACTGTAGTAAACCAAGAGTTTATGCCAATGCTGTAAATCTGTTTTATTAGCACAGCTGCCATTTCTAACATTTCCACTTTGGATTTATGCTGGTGAGAAGGCCTGGTGGCAAGTTGTAACAGCTGCAATAGCTTCTTCCTAGAACATTGTACCTCTGAGTCTCCAATCTTTTCATCCAGGACTCTGTTCTCCCCCTGTTAGAATTGTGCACATAGTTTGTCCAAGTCTCACCTATCTTTCAGACAGCATTGTAGGAATGTTAAAGTGATCCCTGCGAAAACTGATGTACGGGCCCAGCAGCAGTAGTGCAATGGCTCTGCTTTTTTTTGCCTTGGCTTCTGTACTCTTCCTTGCCTTGCTGTTGGGATATGTTTGTGATAGGTGAGTGCTCATCCCCAAGGAGATCTGAGCTTTCACATTTTTGTTGCCAGTAGGTTTGGTGGTCTGACAAGTGAAGGAGATCCATGGTGTGGGAGCCACCTTTTGTGTAGGCTGTATGAGGTGAAAAGATGAAGAAATGGATCTTAGTTGTTTGTAGGCTAAGCTGGTTTTCTGATATTGGGATATTAGGAATTGTTTCTACACCTAGTGAACAAAACTAGTTGAGTAGCTGCAATTTAGACCAGGGTAAATAATTATAACCACCCTTTTGTCAGTACAATGTATGTCATTTAAGGAAATAGTTTAACTGTGTGTATAGTTTTTCTTGTTAGGAGCCTTCTCTCAGTCAGAAATTTTTAGTGTAACCCTACTAACACAGTTCTTGCAGTGCAGATCAGCCATCTATTTTCTGCCTTTGGCTTAGTCCAAAATGAGCCTTTGATATTGGCCCTGCCCACTTTTAACAGGTAAAACCAAACATGACAATGTCCTCTTGGCTGGAGTGACATTTTTACTGGAGATTGCCTATAAAGTTACAGCAATATATGTACTTGCATGTGTTGTTTTCCTTAGAAAAAAAAAGATTCAAACTGCAGTGGTTTCCAAGTGCATTTGTAATGTCCATGCAGGTGAGGTGTTCCAGAGGAAGCAGCTCCCAATGACAGAGCTCCAGGGAGGTGTGTGCATGCATCCAGCAAGCAGAGCTGATGTGAACAGCACAGCAGAGAGCAGAGATTGACTCTGTAGCCATGAGTGCTGTCACCCCAGAAAAACAGGTCTGGAATTGAGTCATAGCTCTCAGCATTCCTTGCTGTTTTACAAATAGCTACTCTGGTGACAACTTCCCAGCAGATGTGCCAAAGAAAATCATGTGTAAGTTATCCTTTACCTTATGTGACAGAAAAAGCAGACAGATAGAAGCAGTTGGCACAGTTGAGATCCTTATAAAGAATGGTCTAACAAGGCTCATATGAACAGATTTTTACCGTCCAGTCTTAATTTTTTTAAAAAAGGTTAACATTTCAGAGTTCTGGGTATTTTAGGATTCCTCTCTGGTTTTCCTTGCATATTCTGTATTTATTGCTATTGCATCTTTTTTTTCCCTCAAGTGACCCTTACTGGTTAGTGTAGACCCATTTTGATGAAGACTCAAACTGTGCAAACTATAGTGATGATGGTTGTTTTCAGTTGCACCAGGAGACCACGGGGTGGGTGAGGCAGGCAAAAGATGGGTGTGTTCTCACAAATAAGGCAATTTTGTGTTGCTTCTGGAGCTGGAGTCTCATCCTGCCTGTGCCATAAAACTTCCCCCTGGTCAGGCCATGTGTACATGTGCACGGGCTCCCCAGGGGATCTCTGGCTTGAAGCAGAAGCAGGGAGTGCAAGCAGGGAGAGTTTCCCACGTGCTGTGTGGTCGCAGAGGGCTCTACTCCCTGGTATACCATGCAGTGAAAGCTCAAGTTACATTCTTGGTGAATTCAATTCCCAGCTTGGTTCTCTCTGTGTAATATACCAAGAGGATTCTCCATAGAGTTAGCTGCTAATACAAAAGCCCCTCATGCTTGGATGCAGCTGCCTGTGTGTACTCCATGAAAAAACAGACACAAACTTTTAAAGATCTGTTCAGGCTTAACTGAAGCTTTTGCATTTTTTTAAAAAGTGTGACTAGCCACTCAATGGAGTAAGCAGGGTTGAGGGCTTGGCAAGAAGCACAGTATGACTTTATGCCTGTGATTTTATGTGCCAAGATAAACTGATTTACAGTTTCAAAAGTAACTGCACTTCTTTTGTTTTGAGGTGTTGGTAATTCTTACAGTCCTGAGAGAGAATACTTCAGATGATCAAGCCTAGACACTTTATGCTTTTAAAGAGCATTTTTTAGAAGTCCTCCAATGACTTTGTTAAAACCACTTTTACTGATGCAGTTGGTCTGCATATTTACATTTTAGCAATTTAGTTGAAACACTGAAACATTAAATGTGAGATGAATGGGAAGTAATGTCCTTGAGTGTAAGTATTACCTCAAAGAAGGGGAGGGAGAAGCCTGAAAAATATTTGCTGGAAAAATTAGAATTAAAATGTAACCTAATTCTCCGTTATTAAGTGGTGCTTGCTAAATTTTCCTGCTGCATTAAAGAGGTAATGTTCTGTTCCTCAACAACACTGTAAGTCAGGCTACAGATGCAGAGCAGTTCCACAGTGACAAGTATTTGTCACCCTGCTGTTCTGACCAATTCACTTCCCTGAGCAGGGCCTGACTGTTTAGACCTTCTCAGCAGTTCAGAGAAGAGGAACTTGAGGTATTCCAAGACCTCCAGTTACAATCTGTTTTGATTCCAGTAGAAAAAGCCTCTACTTAAGAGCAGCAGCTGGTTCTTCAGAGGCACCCATGGCATTGTATTGCAATTTATGGCAAAAGGATGGGTTTGTAGCCAGATGTTTTTGCTAGCTGTGCCTGACTTTATTTTTATCTCCATTATGTCTATTTGATGTACTCAACAGGAGTCCAGTATTGCACTCAGAAATAATTCTCTCAGGTGAACAGAGAACAGTAAGCTACTGCAACTGTAGTTGCATTTTTAGCCAAAATTTAGTCATCATGGCTTGTTAATGATGCTCCAGGAACTTTTAACAGAATCTTTAGGTTCTGTTCCTTATTCAATACACTGGACTAAAGTGAATTTGAAACAGGTGATAAAACAGAGTTGTGTACCAGTTTCTGAAAATACATTTAGAAAAAGAAGTTGCTCTGAAAAAAAATCTGTTCATCCTCTCAAGTAGCACTCTGTGTATTAGGAATAGATTAAAAATAAAAAAGAAGAACCTTTAACTTAGAGGATAATTAAGACATCTCACCCTATGCTAACTCACTCCTTGCAACTTACGCTGAGGAAAATCAGATAGCATGATAAGGTGGACAGAGAAATACTGTGAATCTTCCTTTAGTTTACCATTTTGCTACAGGTCCTTGTGCTCCTGATCAACTGATTCCCCTTCTATATGAATACTAAATGTAAAAAAAGAATGAAAATAGTACTACCTCTCAATAAATGTATTCCCATTCGAGTGTACAAACACCACTTTCTGATGGGATGAAACATAACATTAAATATATCTGCCACATATATTAAAATCATGCCAGAACAAATGGTAATGCCATCTCCAAGCTTGGGACAGTGTTGCAGCTCTCCAAGAGTGAGCTGGTAAACATGAGAGAAAACATCTATCAGAAATACACAAAGTAGCCATTTATTCAGCATCATTTTAACTGTTAAGGGAGAAAGATGTAGAGTCTCACCAAATACAGTCAGCACACATGAGATTCATCCATAGGTTAAGCCCTCTCTAACATTATTAGTACAGTGGCTGGGAATAATGTTCACAGACTGATTTGATTTTTTTTTTCTTAATTTGAGCAGAAGATTTAGAGATTTATCAGGAGACACAACTTCATCATTCTCCAGAAGCATCTGATCGGAATTTTCCAAGTCTTGTCTTTTCTATTGTTTTGTCTGTTTTCTTCTTCCTGAGTTTCTGTCATCAGAAAACTACCCTTGCAAGTTCAAACAGAACCTGTGGAACAGCAAACACATTGGTGTGAATTTTTATTTTAAAACCTTTAAACCACTTTACGCTATAAATCAGATAATCTGAAAAGTAACTGTAGCTGCAATTTGAAAGCTGCAAAGAACAAATACTAATCCCTGTGTACATTACATTAATACAGTAATCTTATTTCTCAAAGTATGAAGTATAGAAATTGCACTTGTTATTATGTCCTTAATACTGAAGAAAGGCCCACCAACCTCTATGGTGATCAGTATTACTATCATCCACTCAAGGCGCAGCGCGTGCTTTTCATTCAGGTGATTTCGCATTAGGTCTGTCAGCTCCATGCAGTGCTGGAGCTTTTCATTCATTACCTGCAAGCAATTACAAACATCACAAATCTGGACTTCAGAAATGGAATCAGATCACTAAATAGGGAAACACAGAACTAGAAAGGGGTTAACACCTCTGCAAAATAGAATAGAAAATTAATAGAACAGAAAATTCCATAAGACAACATGCACAAGCAACAGAAGCTTCAGCATAAATGAACCTGTTATTTCAATGGGTTCCCCAAAAGAATATAAATTTAGATATGCATCTACAGGTATTGAAGTGTTTCTGGGTGATACCTACTCATGAAAACAGTCATAATCAAAAGAAGATACAGCTTTCTGGAATGCCTCAAAATTGAGTATTTATGATTGCTGTACCACCAGGAGAGGTAGTTTTCATGCTTCTTATTCTGGTTCAGCAGTAAACATTATGTCACCCTTCAAGAACTGATGTGAATGATCATGTCAGTAAGAAGAATCCACTTCTCAGTTCTTCTATTTATAGCCTAATTTAGTGGCCCAGGAAATAATTCATGTATGTGAGGCAGGTTAACCTAAACCAGGTAAAGGTGTGAGTGGGCTAATAACAGCTGGAAAAGGGGAGAGTAAATAATACCTTATTATTTATTCACTTTCTGCAAATAAAGCACATTCACAGAGCAATCTGTGACCCTGCTGAGCCAAAGACAACTGATCTGAGCATGGAAGATTCAAACAACAATAAAACACTCACCTTAACTCTGCGATTAATGTTGAGAAACTGGCAAGTCTTGTCATAAAGCTCTTCCAGTTTTTCTCTATCCCAGTAGAAGTCTGGTGTTATTAGCAGGTCTGAGCTCAGATTTATACGGTGTCTAAAAAGAATGGGCACTACTGTAGTTCAGTCTTCCTTGTGGTGAATATAGGAGCAAATATTTACAAGCAGTTAAATGAAATAAGAAAATTTTCCTGTAATTCTACATACAGTATGAAAAGAATCTCCTTTCATAGTAAAAATACAATTGGAGTGATTATTTAAAATTGGTCACATCTCCTGAAACTTTTCTGCAAATACTCTACTGTGAAACTCTTTTGAACATTAAACACTTTTTCCTTATGCCATCATTGCCTCCTCAACCTGTCACCTTCCTTAATTTTTGATACCTGTAGAGAAGTCCCTGACTATGCTGGGGCTCACTGAAGCAGCAATACAGAACTCCTAAATGTGACTGGGACTGCATGCTGACCCCTCAGAATCAGGCAATGGTCTAAGCATCATAAAGGCTGAAAGCTAAAATCTCCTGCCTTCAATGTATTGCTAACAAACCTTTGGATACCTGGAATGTCACTGTTGATTACTGATCAGTCCTTCAAGTACCCCAGCGTTTGAAACAGGATTTTTTAAATTTTAACTTGGAGATTTTGGTGGGATTTTTTCTTTTTTTTTTTTTTATTTTTTGAGTGTGTAATGGTCTGTATTGTCAAGGGCCGAATTTCACTTGAGGGATGAAAAAACATTAAATACAATGACTTAGCAGTGGTTTCTGAGTATGTCAAGGGAAGAACAGAACAGAACTCAAAAGATATTTACTGACTCTAGGCTGTAGTTAACACTTCTACACCTACCCACCTTTCTCCTGGTATCCTTTACATGCTGTAAATACAGTATCTACAGTAATTACTAGTTTAAACATGTGTTGCTGGACTCAGGAAAGGAAAAGGGTGTGGTATTTGGTCATTTACGATATACTGCCTACTTAATGCCTGCAGTTGAACTGCCAGTGAGTGGTGAACCAGTGGGTCCCCTTACTAATGTAAATAGCAAACAGACTCCAGTCAAATAAGGAATTCTCCCACCCTGTCTCACCCCGCTGTACTTAGTATGCATTCTTCTCTTTGTATACTGCACAATGTAACTTTTACATTCTGTGTAATACAATGTCTTGGATGTAACCAAAGAATTTACCTTAGTGCAAAGAGTTCTCCAATTTTCTGCATCACATCTGCATGAGAGAGTTTTACCTTCCTTCGTGACTTTAGAATCTGAAAAGTAGGAAGTTCTTCACTGCTTGATCAAGTAACATGTACTAGTAGTTAAGAAGTCCACAGTTTTACAGCCTGAAGTATCTTAGAATGCACACTGTACTTACTAACAGTTTTGTTTGCTTAGTGCCTTGCTTCTCTAGCTTTCTAAGAATATCACCGTGCAACTGGTTCATCAGGCTTCTCAATAAATCACTGAGTACGTCATCAGTAGCTACAGAAATACTGGGGCATTTTCTGTAAGTGATTTCCTGAACAAGAGATGATTTGTTCTTCCTTCCTGCTGTTTTTATTTTAAAGTCATGACAGTGTTCTTTTACCTTGCCACTCCTTAGCCTTTTAATAGACTTTCTCCTTATAACAATCAATGTATTACCATTTATTTCCTTCACATAAAAGTAATAAACCAAACGTTTTCTCTTTTGAACTCTACAAATCTCAATTTTATATACAACATTATGTGAGCTTTGTACTGTAATTATGTCTCATGAAAAACTTTTACATAATTCACTCAAACTCTTCATTATGTTCAAGTCAAAGCACATTGTTTTCAGCCCAAGTTAGCACACTCTGTGTTTGGTCAGATTTTTAAATGCTGCTTATCCTGTTACACATACATTTCACCAGTAGCAAGTGACAGTGGCACAACATAGGAAACATTATTACAATGCAGAACCGAACTCCCAGCCCTTTAAAGGCTGATGATTTCTTGTCCAACCCCTCTGCAGGTGTTCTGAGCTTCTCTACACTCATGGATTTACGATCAAATGTGTTCAATATTCAATTGCTTTTCCCCTATCCTCAGCTACATATGGACTGATTTGTTACAAAACACAGGAGAAAAGGAGGGGAACAAGACCTCACCTCAGGAATTGACTGGATAGATTCCACAAAGTTATCCAGTAATGATTCCCAAATAGCTAGCTTCACTGCAACACAGAGACAACAAAGCAGAAGACTGTGAGAAGTACATATGCTTTCAAGTAATTCTACCTTTACATCTGCCAACAGGCTGCCTCAGGACATGTCGATGCTTACAGACATTATTTGCAGCAAGTTACAGTTTGTACCACACAATCACTGTTCCGTGCACCAGATCTGGGCTGGGCACTGACACAGCTCTGCACACAGAACCAGCTTCACCATGAGCACAGCTTTCTTCTCCAAGTGATCAGCTCAGATCCTGGAGAGTTTCTGCTTGAGCTCACAAGTTGTCTGCCCAAGTGCTCTACTGGATGTGTGAGCTCTCTGCAAATTACATTCCAAGGAGGCTGGAGATAATGAGCTATGCTGGCGTCAGACTTCATGTGGCACCTCAAGAGCCTCCACTGCATTTCCAGTGTCCGGCACAGCTCTCATTCTCCATTCGTGCAGTATTGATGCACTGTGCTCCAACCACAGTTAGCCTGTATGGACACACCACCCGTTCCTGTTGAAGCTCAATCCAAACTTGAGCAATCTCCCATTTTGTTTTTAGGTGAGTGTACTGTTACTGAATTTCTAACTTCTGTTCTATGGAAGCTTGAGTTCAGCACTGGCATTAGCAACACAAATTCTGCTATGCCTCAGCGTGAACCTAGTAAAATGTTTCTGCAAGATGATAATATAACTTGGGCCTTGTTCTTTAGTCCACAGATTCCCAGATAAGAAAGAAGTAGCAATAGATCAAAACTGAACCTCATTCAATCTGAAAAAAATTAATCAGGGAAGATTTAATTGTCAAAATTAACTCTTCTGAGGTTGTATCAATAGTATCATCTGGCTAGGACACTGCCAGTAAACCCAATGCTGAACATTTTGCACACTCATCTTTTGAATACAAAGGCCTAATCCAAGTCACTGACTTAAATTACTTCAAATTTAGCCCTTGAAAAAAACAACAGCCAGTAAGCATTTCATCTGTCACCTGTTATTTGACAGAGGCTGGTTTCTGCCATTCATAAATCTGACTAGGGACTATACTTGCATCCTTTATTTTTACTGAACATTATCTCCTGGGAATAAATCCCTTGCTCCCATTTAGGAAGCACTACCCTTCCATACAGTGCCTTTATGAATAAGAAAACTATAGAGAACATTATGCTTTTTTCTCAACAGCTCTTGCTTCAACAGTTGAGAACCACTTACTTACACTGCACTCCTTGATGAAATGGTGTAGCACTTCAAAAATGTGCATTCTGTTTCTCTCCTGTGTATAGGTGCACTTGCCCAAAATACTACTGGAATCCTGGAATTCACCCTAAAGGCAGCAGAAGTAGACAGACCAGACTTCCCTTAAAAGGCCTTTTTGAGGACAGCCTTACTGCTGCTGGTTCCTAACTCCCACTCCCTCCATCATTCAAGGTCTGAAGCAGTAAACAGGTGTTATTTGCTCAAGCAGCAGGATGACTGGTGAACCTGACTTCTTCACAGTGCCTCCCACTGTCTGCCACCATGGCTAATAAGCCTGCAAAACATTATCTGTGACTCTGGTCCACATATGTGTTACTGATACACCTCCCCAGCTGGGAATAGCTGCCCTGTATCACTTCTTTAGCTGGCAACTAGCTTTTCTGTCAGAGGAAATGATGTCAGTATGAATAACTCCAGATTACTGAGAGGTTTCTAGTAGTGACCTCTACATTCATTGTTATCCTAGGATAGTTCTCAAAGGTGGGGAACAGGATGCTGAGTAGAACATGTATCTTTTGCAAAACATGTTTGTTAATGTGCTTTGTTCAGCTTTAAAAAGGTTTCCATTCAATAAAGCAATTCCAATTTACAGAAAACATGGTAAAAGCATTGAAAACAAATCCTCTCAATCTGAAGCACCATCACTCTTTACAAAGTTTGTCTAAACCAGATACCAAGCTTTTTCCAGCCTGTCACTGTACAAGTCCCACTTATAATGACATTTCACAAAATCTGTAGCATAGACTACATAGTATGAACAATTTTAACTTACCAGAAAGACAAAGAGCATTTGAAAAGGCAAATTTCTGCAGAACAACTTCATCACTATCCAGCTCAGAATTTAACAAGATTTGTCCTTTATGGAGCTTTGACTGACCTCTGTTAAGACAAGATTGAAGCATCTTCATTGATCGAGCCACCAGCATAGGAACATTTAAAGAATAATTGACAGTGCAAGAAAGGCTAGTTGTTTATTTAGGTAAGGTATGCCATGTCTGTATGGTATCATTATCATTTTGCATTTTACTCACGTTCAACCTGACAATATTCATAACAAATCACTGAAAATTAGTTCCTCGGTCTAAGACAAATATTATGGCCAAATTTTCTAGGTGTAAATGCAAGTGCAGCAAGCTGTGATGGAAACTGTAGCATTGCTGCATATACACAGACTATTCAGAGTAAGCAGGATGCTCACCTCTCTCCTGCTCTCCAGCTCCTCTGTTATCTTTCTGTTTTCACTTTCTGCTGTCACTCTTATCAATCTTACTCCCTCCCCACTATGATGCTGCTTTGCCTAAAACCTCTATTGCATAGGGGGGCAAGGAGCAAAGAAAAGGGGACAAAAGACTTGTTCAATTTTTCATGTCAATCTCACTATGAAACACACAGAAGCGAAATGAAGTGTGTCAAGAATCGCAAATTACACAACTAAATAGTACATGCAGTTTTCAAATGGTCAAGAAAAACCAAACAGCTGTCTCCTTACCAAGTTACTTTAAATAAGCTGAGCATCATTCATTCAGTTCCTATTAAAAGTGTCCTGTCTAGGGGTTGCTTTTGGGTGCTGTTGGAAAATTACAGGTAATATATATAATCATTTTCATTGTGAAATATTTCTGTAGAGATAGTTTTCTTTCCATGATGAAAAAACATTATTTAACAAGGAAAGATAACTTGCCAGGTTTATCATTACACAATAATCAAGCTCTAACTTTGCTACTAAATGAAGTATATGCAGAAATTACATCTTTGTATATGAATCTCAAGGACATGGTGAAAGCTTATAGACAGCATCCTCTTTAAAATCAAACTCGTCTCAATAATGCTTATTAGTTTTTTTGCTGTGACATACATCATTTCCGTTTGCGATTGCTGAAGAGTTGTGTGGGCAGGGAGTTTCTTATTTACAAGATCTATCATATAAGCAAATCACAAAGGCCACTACTTGCAAGTTTACCAAGACAGAAACATTTATCCACTCAGGTTTATAGTTTTCTTTCTTTATTTTATTCATTTGGAAAAAAAGTAAGGACAAGTATATTTTTACTAGCTGAATTACTTTCACTTGAATTTGGTTTAGGTGTCTGTTAGCTTTTATACACAGACCACCTGAAGATACTTACTCTCCTATTCTATAGTTCAGCTCTTCATTCTCCCAATGGACCAGTGCAACTTCGTATGGCTGAATTTCATGCTGCTCTAGCACTCGCATGATATTCTTCATCTAAGAAGGAGACAATTGCAGCAATAGTTACCATGCAGCAAAGTATCACTCTGCAAAGAACTTGCACAGCGCAGGCTGATGAATGCAACCTTCATGCTGAAATTATTTACCTAACAATGAAGAGGTGTGCTAAATAATGAAGTTATTAGTAACATAGTTTACATCTGAAACTAGCTGTGGTTTGAGAAGAATTTGTAGCTATAAACAGCTGCAAGGAATCTGGGAAAACTGAAATGTCATTTTATATGTGCACACATGGAACAGGGTAAGGATTAACCACAGCAGCAGTAAGGGCAACATGGATGTATTCAGTATTGTAACAATGAGAGGTACTAGATTTTGGCAGATGTCTGAGTGTGGGGATGAATCTTTAGGAGAAGTACATTAGGTGGTTGTTTCTGATAAAATTACTAGTTTGCTGCTAAATCAGTAGTCTTGTTTCAGCTACCAGAGGTCAGTTATATTACAGAAACCCTTTACCACTACAAAAATCTGGAAAAATTGTTTCAGCTGCCACGCTCATCCCTGTAAGCGGTTAAATGGGCAATTTTACTTGCAGAAGTAATCTCGCTGCTCCTTTATTCTCCAGCACACTAAAACCTGATGCAGGAAGAAAGGCCATTTTCTCTCACAAAACTTTTTCCTCTTGACGTCTGACTTAGGATCTCTCATCCTTGTTCCTTTCTATATGCTACAAGGCTCCCCTCAAAAAAATCATCTGCAATTAGAACAAATTCTGAACTAAAAAAAGCACTCACCTATGAGTTTTTAAAAGGCATTTAGCTACACAACAGCCAATAAAATCCAAACCACAAAACCCTTTTGATGCCTGAATTCTTTAGAGTTCAATCTTCTACTAAGTCATACTTAAAAGCACTCTCCTTTTAAAATAAAAGCTCATAGTTCATCTTTTAGCACAAAACTGTACCCTATACATTTTTCATAAAGCATATTTTCCAGGTTAAGTACTCTAAAAAAATCTGTTGGATCACCTGCAAGAGGGATTTTCTTTGCACTGCTAGCTTTGTTCATTGCTTTCAAGAATTTTGGTGATACTGTCTATGTAACACAGTAACATTTTTCACTGAAAAAACCCCTCAACTGTACAGCTGAAACAGCTCCTTTCATAATCCTGAATTCAATATTAGCATGACTAAGACTCACCATACAATTCAAGTCTTGTGATAAAAAAGGGTGAGAACATAGGAAGCATCTGCTCTGAGGACAGTCACCTCAGCAAAACAGCAGTGTCCAGGGACAGTTCAGCAGTGCAAACCTCACACTGCTTCTAGGCCCAGCCTAATTTTATAGAAGGGACTAGCTGTAACACAGTAAAATAATTAGAAGAGATGTTCTGGAGTCACTAGCTGCAAACTCTTGCTATTATGGGCACTTACATCACACAGTTTCCTTTTAAAAAACCTCCGAGCTGGTTTTTCTTTTTGCCCTTGCTATTTTGGTAAGGAAGCAGCTGTGCAACCTTCCTACTCAGGTATTTAAAATTGCTCTTTTGTTTTAAGTTTCTTTTTGTGATCAGTCTGTATTTGTTACTTCTTCTGGTAAATGTCTGTTAATTTCATTTTTTTTTCTCCTACTAGTAATTTTGGGTACTTTTGTCCATTTGCAGTGACACTCTACATTCTGTTCTACTGAATTACTTTCAGCTTCTGTTCTACAGACCAGTTTGAGATTTTTCTCCTTTCATTTCAGTTCATTAAAGCATGTCCATAAAAACACTTCCTGTATTTGAGCAAGTTGTTTGGCAGTTAAAACTTTGACTATGATTTCAATAAACAGAAAGAGGCATTTTCCTCCTCTTTTACAAATAAAGCTAGCAAGGGACCAATTACTGATACTAGTATTGACCAGGAAAACAAGGTATCAAATTTTCAAATGTATTTAAGCTTGTACAACAAAAGGAGAATTATCAGAGTACTCTGGAGGGCTAAGGTGTTCAACTCAAAGATCATCAGGAGTTAAAGCAGCTGGTCTTCAGTAATGTTTGTGAATCAGTAGTGTAGTTACAGCCATAGCATCCAAACAGGCAAGGGAGAACTGGTATCTTTTTTAGGACACCTGATACACTGACACCCCCCAAAACAGACAGGAAATCGGGAACATTTCAGTTCTGAAACAGAAGAATCCAGAAATTGTTCACATCTGGAAACAACTGCTCTGTGTTTTCATTTACCCCAGTGAAAATCCTCCTGTGAACTTCAATGCATCTCAGTATCATCTATTTAATACACCATTTAATTTCACATAGTCTGTCTACAGATTAGGTCAATACTTTTGTATCTAGAATCCAGCTTAACCACAGTAATAAAAATAGATTTAAAACATTAAATAACTATAAATATATTCATTAGAATATATATGCTTCTGGCATACCCTTCTAGGTCAGCAAAGATCACAAAAATATAATATGTCAGCAACATATTTAATAGTTGTACCAATCAATAAAAAACTTCCTTCAGGAAAATTGCTGGCTGGTAAAAACATAGGACAGTATTAATGAGTTGCTTATAATTCTTTTTTTTTCTTTCAAAGTTGTACAAACATAAGTCTTTAATAACTGACTTAAAATGGAATAGAATGGAATAATCCTTTTCTTCTAACATACTTTCTGTTACATTAGTGTTTTTCAAGCAATCATTCACAGGTAGATTTTTATGATCTACTTTTTCAGGATGTAGAACTGCAAGAATATTCTTTTTGTCAGTCTCACTAAATTAAGGTTTCAGATTTTTGTCTTAAGTAGATGAATTTCAAAGGTGATGTATCAGCAGCCCACACACTTGAGGGCAGCAGCAGGCAAGAACCTGCACTCATTGGAGAAGAATCAATCAGCTTTTTTCCTTCACAGAAAGATCAATCTCCCAAACAAACCTCTGGCATGCTGTGCTTTGTGAGACTGACAAAACACTTGCTTATGCAGTTTTAACCAAGTTTCACTTTACTTACACTTTTCTCTTCCACATTCCAAAATACAACAGCCCCTTCCCTGTGAATTCAAGGAAAAACTGAGTGTAATCATACTGTTTTAAATGTATTTTAATGGAATACTCAAATTGTACAGTGGCAGATTTTGTCATTGTGAATCAAGAAACTTAAAACTATGTTCAGAGAAATTACATACTAGTTGCTTTTTAACCAGACTTCAATGAAAAATCATGAGAAGGTGTTTTTCAATCATTTAAATAATTCTGATTTTTTAAAAAATCATTCTGACTGGACAGTTATTCCTTGAGTTTCATGAGGTAATGATGCAAGATCTAGCAAGCTGCACTACTTCCTTCACACCATTATGATTAATGACATAATATTTTGAGCATGATTTATTGCTTACCTGAAGAAAAAAATCATGCCAGGATCATCTTCTTTTGCAGATTTCTCAGTACTGACCACCAAAACATTTGCAGCATCTGGTTTGAAATAAGTGAAAAAAATAGACTATTTAGTCAAACTTCTAAACACGACAGCTGATAGCTGTAAGCATGTAATTCAACAGTTATACTAACACATCAGCCAGTTCCACATTTTATTTTCTGATAGAAATGCTTGCTAGAGACCAACTACAATATCAAACCACACTGCTTCCCCGAACTGGGGAACAGAATCTAGATCGACTGGGCCTCTACTGGGAACCTCACCAGAATCTTCAGCTAATGAAAGATGGAAGCCTTGAAGAACAAAAGACTTAGGAGAAAACTGATGCAGACATTGTAAATAACCAGGAACAGAACACAGAAATGGACATACAATGAGAGAACTGTGGAAGTTTTGCACAGTTGCAGAGAAATTAAGAGTCAAATCTGCTTGCCTGAAAGTTCTTCATTTCTATACACTAAAGGATTAATCTGCACTCAGATTGTGCTGACTTTGCTTTGCCAGTCAGAAACTTGAAAGAGTGTACCCCCAAGACAGAAGAGCCTACACGTGCATTTCCCTGCACATCAGAAGTATGCTTTTGAAATAAATCTTCCACCCACTTTCCCTTACCACACTTCTGATGTGCACTGCACAACAATACATAAAATGTGAGGGCTTTTGCATTAAATGAAAATGAAAGAGAAGATAAAAAAATGCTGCTGTGGTACTCCAACCACTAAATGGGGCATTTGTTACAAAGGATTAGACCAGAGCTAGTCCAAGTGGAATATCTCCAAACTTACAAAATGTGGTTGCTGGGTTCTCAAAATAGGGGTTTGATTCTTCTACAAATCTTCTCCACTGTGCCACTCACTAATACAGATGGAGTTTTATAAGTCCTGATGTGGTTTCAGGCCAGAATTACTTGTTTTGTTGCAGCACTAGTGGAAGCTAGACCAGGAAAGTCCCCTACTTCTATTTAAGATTGTGCAGGGCCTAACAAAGAATTTGCAGGGCCTAATAGCTAAGCCTTAAAAATTTAAATGCCTTTTCAGGAAAATCACAAGTCAAGCGATGCAGCATCAAAAGTTGTTACTTCTGCTTGTGTACAAATTCTACCTTTACAGCTCAGGCCATAGAGGGCAGGTAGACTGAGGCAGCAGAGAGACACAACCAAGTACCAGATACCTTTTTGCTAATATCTGAACTGGGACTCCGTGGTTGGTCTGAATGAGCCCTTAAAGACTTTTCTTCCACTTGCTAGTCCAGTTCAGAAACACATGATTGGATGAATAACTAGAAGGATTTAAGTGTGAAGTTTGAGTTCATCATGGAAGTAACATTTGTCTACATTTTCTCATTTGCCTTTTCAAATACCAGCCATATCTTTATTTATCCACTCCAGCCAAAACACACACAGTTGAAGAGAATTTGGTCTACTTTAAGTGGAGGTGCAGGATCTGCCTCTATAATGTTTTTAAAGAGGTCAAAACCAAGAATGCTGCTTTGGAAAAACACAACAAAGCAACAATATCACACCATAACTGCTGCTTTAGATTTCTATGTGGAAATATTTTTAAAAATTATTCTCTCAAATTCAGTGTTTGGCTTGGTAACCAACCACTGCTACATGCACATGCCAACCATCACAACACTTCAGATCTGCTGGCACAATCCAATATCCTTTCATCATTACTTCCTCCAAACCTTTGATAAACAGTACTCATGAGTCAAAAACACCATGAAGAAATAAAAGGAATTGGCAAAACTGACACTCCCAGGGTAAAACACTGTCAACAGTAATGTTTAATTCACAGTCATGCTGGGGGTTGTACAAAGTTTCTATCCAAAGCTGTGAACCCAGGGTTAGTTTCAATACAAAAAAACTACAAAGAAACATGAAGTCTATATTCTAGTGGATATTGTCTTTCATGTTCATCTTTCTGAACAAGACAGTCATTAGTAAGTCTCGTGCTTGAAAGAGACCCACTGGAGTATCACTGCACTTAGATTATTATTTGAGAGGCAGACAGGCTCCTGATAACCCCTACTGAAATGCCCATGACCTGCCAGTGCTTCTCCTAGCTGCATATAATCTGTTCTTTCAAAGGAAGAAGAAAAGGTATTCTACTACTGACATATGAAAATCAGAGCTGTTCCAGGGCGTAAGGTTTCTTAAGCTATAATAAGATCAATTTGTTTTTCTTTTGTAGTATACTGCAGCTATTTCCAAGCCATACTTTCCCAAGTCTGCAGAGATATTTCATATAGAAACCAGAATCAATTATTTTGCTGAAGCCTAAGTGTAGCATTCAACAATTGCCAGGATATACTTGGCCCAATAAAGAAGTATCAACAGCATTCTCTTCACTAGAACTAAACACTTATGTGTGTATCTTTTTCATTTCATTTAGTCAGCAAGATTCTCTCTTGCAAGCCTTCCCCTCCAACTCTGATTTACATTAATAGAAATCTAGGTACAGAAAGAAGATGCAACACTTCAAACTACAGAATTGTTTTGACAGCTGATGTACTGCACTACCTCACTACTGAAGGATTAATTAAAATAAAACATTCAAAAACTAACAGTTAGTGAATTTCTGTACAAATTCTCTGTATCAGTCAATTTCTGAAGTTATTTCTCATGCATGCATGTAACTTTTCTATACTTCTTAATGTAATTGTAATGTTGGGGAAAAGTATCAGAGGATAAGAGCACGAGCTACTCACACTGCTGTTCTGAAAGGTTTTGTTGTGGGGACTTTTAGGTAAATGGAATCTTAAAGCAAAGCAATAATTTTACAGGCAGTATGATATATTCCAGGATATTATCAGAATAAGAATATATAAAGTTACAAAAATTATATCCCTCACCCATATTTTATTTCCCCAGATATAACATTGCATTTAATATGTTTCAAAAATCTACCTCTAGGCAAACTTGTTATTTCAACATATCCATGTGAAGTCAGGTCATGACACAGATTACCAAGATGATATTCATCTGCTGTTGCAAAGGCTGTGCACTGCATCAGATTCTGTGCCAAAGGAACAGAGATTTGAGTTAGGGCAATGCTGAAGCAAGATGGTAATAAGACAACTGTTTGCTTCGACTTTTTTAAGAGAGTGACAATTTTCATCTATGCATTGTTCTGTGGTATCATTGCCGTGATTTCTACCTGGTATACATATACTAACAGATAGTACTTGCTCGTTGTTAACTGGGAAAGCAAATCACACACTGAAAACAAGTCAGGTGGCATGAGTGAAGTCACAACAAAATCTCTATGACAGAGCCTCAAAGACAACTCTTCTTCCCTGAAAGCCAATCAAATACTTGACCAGTAGAGTTACGCTTGCTGCTGCTCCCATCCCACAGCTTATGACACACTTGGCTGACCACTGAATCCAGAGGGAGGACAGACACCCCCTGACAGAGTTAAAACACCGTGAAAATCAGTTAGGGTCAGCTGTCCCGGCTGTGTCCCCTCCCAACACCCTGTGCACCCTCAGCCTCCTCGCAGGTGGGGTGGGGTGAGGCACAAAAGGCCTTGGCTCTGTGCAAACCCTACGCAGCAATAAGGAAAACATCCCTGTGTTGTTAGCACTGTTGTAAAGATAAATGGAGTTTGAGTACCCCAGTGTGTTTATCAAGCAGAAGCTCCAAACACAAACACGGTGCCCTGCCATGCACCAAGCCACCGCCCGGGCTGAGCCGCTGCAGCACAGAGAGTCCCCGACCTTCGGGGCAGCTGCAGGCGCTGCTCAGCTCCAGCGTCCCTGCCTGCCCCGAGCTGCATCCTGCACTCACAGCAGGGGAACAGCACACATGGCCAGCTTGTCCCAATATCCCACAATCTAAACAACTAAAATGTCCTATTCAAAGAAGTAAATGGAAAAATGATGCTGACTTGCAAGGAGATGTGAGATTTTCGTGATTAATCAAATAAGTCACAATACACTGATTTGCAAATTCTACTACTCATCTGAAGTGTATATCTTTGTTCTGATACCATGTATGACCTACAAAATTGTTTTTCAGTACAATGTAGTGGAAAACATCCAGAAAGCAATGTCTCACTGTGGATCAGTCACTTCCCAGCTTTTTGTAACTAATACAAATGGAGATGTAACTAACAACAAATGAACAAAAGAATTGTGCTCATCTGCAGGCATTTAGGTCCGCAATACACTTGAATGTAAAATACAAGTTACATTCTTGCAGCACTCACACACTGTCTGATAGCAAGGCTCCAAGAGGGGCTCTGCTCCCTGCGAGGGGCCTGTCAGCAATCACTAGAATCACCACCTCACATCTGAACTTTTCTTTTTTAACGTCAACATTCTACCATCACAGCCAAAGCTTTGCTTACATATCATCTTAATTCAGCAACCACTAGCAGAAAATAAGCTTCCAAAGTAATTATAATATTCAGAGAGGAATTTTGTAGGCATATTCCCATAACTGTGCTAGAAGGCTGAACTAACAGTGGAACAGAACTCTGCTTTCAGTTCCCTCAAAGTATCATTTCATTATCATAATTTCAACTGCATAAATCCATTCTCAATCACTAAATCACCAGTGCCAATTATACATCTGAATCTGAAGATTCTTCCAAAAAGCTCCTGTTATGATAAGTATGCATGCTCTGCCATGAAACTCTTCTGTCAAGAGTTAAGGGAACAAATTCTCATCTTGTAGTCAGTATACAATGTGAAAACCTCTGTCCTGCTCTGTGTTTTGCACAGTGTATTACTTGGGCAATTCTTCATTTCAAGGCACTACAGGATTGACTTTCTGTCTTACAGCTGCAATTTTAGTTTCAATGGCTACATTTCTCATTTAGTTACAACCAGAGGTTTTCCATTTAGCTACGTGCCTGAAAAAACACTTTGGATATGAACTACTTTCAGGTTTGCGGATTTTTTTTTACAATGTACTGTTTCACTTACACATTTACAAAAATCTTGTTTGATAGAGAACATTTGGCTTAGGCATAATTTGTGATTAAGACACCTAAAATATGAGTCCATGGGTGCTGGTGGAGACAAAAAATCTACTCTAATCAGTACTCAGTTAATCCTAATATAGATGTGTTAACTGGCTGATCAACCTTAATGCCGTGTTTTCTGCTACATCAGTTTCACCTGCAAACTTCAAAAACCCCAGAATACAGCACCTGTACTGGTGCTAAAAAGGAACTTGAGCTACTCACCCCCTTCTCCTTTCTGCCTAAGGCATTATTGAGATTCTGTTCAGAGCAGCACACAGGATGGCTGCTCCTAAGGACAGCTAAGTACCTTGACAACTCATTTTCTGTATCATCCTGCCTCCAACAACTGTATAGGCTCATGGAATCATAACTCCCCTTAGTCCATCTGTTCCAATTTTAGCATACAAAAAATTTTAAGAAAGAAAACCTGTAGGATGAACTTTAGTCCTCATATCACCACAGGAATCAATCTTTATCTAAAGTGTGGTAAATACTGTGTCTATGCCTGAATTTCAAACTATTTCTATGCTAGATGGCTGTAGCATTAAGAGTTGGCCCAGAGGCTTTTCCTGCCATCAGATCATACCAGGTTATCCAAGTAGTGGTACCACTCACTGATGGTCTGACTAAACCACTTAACTGGTTCCAAGGAAATACTCTATCTGTCCTGAAAAACCGGCTGTACAACGATTTACCACTGCTGGTGCCCTGCCCTCTGCCTGTAAAATCTCATGAAGACCAGTGCTGGGGAGGGTGGGAAGGACCTCACTCACCAAGTGCTCTGCAAAAGAAAGGTGTCAGCTGTCAGGCCCCCCCAGAGGGAAAACACCACAGATTCTCAGGATGCTCACACTGAGAACCTCAGGATGGGCCTGCAACTGCTGTCTCCAGAGGCAGGAAAAGATGGGAAGGAGATGTCCCTAAGGCAATGGCCTTGGTGCTAGGGCCTGCTACACTAGAGGTAATTTGTGGCCCAGCATTTTGCCATGCAAAACCCTCCTCAGGAAGTATATTATTATTTCAGTGCATCAGGCGGTATTTTCTCCATTTCTTCACAACGGAAAACATTAAAAATAGCACTGCCTGTTACTTGCACATATATATGAAGATGTCAAACAAAGAAACTGTGTGCATTCTATGCCGTCATTTAAAAGCCTCAAAAATGCTGTCACTTCACCCAAAACCAAGGAGAAACAAACTCTGAATGTAATGTTATACCACGACTAAAAAGCTGGAAGCATTACATAGTGTTTCAGGACTAATATTTTTCACTTTCCTCTTCCAAAGCAACATGAAAATATTAGTGGGAACTAAATTGTTTATAACTATCTCTTTATGTTACACTATGGCATGCACCTGCTTATCCCACAAAATACTCATCATAAGCTTAGATATGAGAAGGCAAGCACTAAAATTTTTCTCTGCTCACATTCAGTAAATCATGTAACAGATATACTTTGCGGCGTGGAAACTATTTCTAAAGACACAGTCCTTGTTTTAGTCTCACCTATCTACTACTTTACTAACAATACCCTGAAACTCAGTTGTTTTAGCCTGATGAGAACAGTAACACATCTGACACCAGGATTCACCATGGGAATCCTATATTCAAGTGTACTTAAGGCCTGGCTTGGCTAAGAACTATCTTAAGGAGAGCTGGCTACAAATATGTACTGTTCTTCCTCATTGTACCTCACAGTATTGAACAGTGTGTTGCTGCATTTCCTCTGTAGACATCAGAGTCTGATAATCAAGGTGCTATTTCTACACATGTAATGATCTTTCTCAGGTAACACAGGCTACACTTGCACATTCACTACCCATCTGAAACTTAATCTGAATATAAGCTTTATACTATTGACTTTCACTTTTATTTCTGTTTGAGTGAAACCTTAAAACTGGGTAGATCTGGAAAAGCAAAGAGGTGTAGAGAAAGTTAAATTATTCCGACAGCTAGACTTTGTTTCTCAATAGAAAATGTCATTTGAAAGCACTGGTCAAAACTATTTTTAATGCACTTCAACTTTCCACTTTATAGTAAATCACTCATCTTCCCTATACATTTGTTAACATATTGCAAGTAAACTTCCATTTTACCTTCAAAATACCAAACATGCCAATTTCTATCAAGCTTGCTTCTATTTACAAAGCTCCAACACTAGTGTAAATAATGAAGTCTTTCTCACCAAATAATTATGTTAATTTCATTAAAATGTTCACCTAAACCCAAATCTGAAGGGAAATCAAACTGATGCAGTCCCTCAATGTCGCATAGACTGTAAATGTTATACTTCACCTCCATGTCAGAGAGTGGCAGGTTCGCTCTGGATGGCTGCTTGGTCCTCGGTGCCTTTGGTGGCCTCTTCACTGGCTGGTTACTGGCCTTGGGGACAGTTTTACCAGCTGATACAACTGCATAAAATCTTGATGACGTGTTCCTAAGCTTTTTGATCCACTCTGTATTGAGCCTGTAGTTTTCCATCACTGTCGCCCCCAAACGTCTCCAGGATGAGAAAAAACCCTCCCCACGCTGATAATAAACATTTCTTTCCAAAGTGGACAGAAATCCTTGGAGAAAATGCTGATTCCTGAGTTGCACACATTGACTTGTCAACCAAGGGAATGAAGGTTTCAGTGCACACAAATCCCAAGACTTTGCTGTTCTGTGAGCTGCTCTTTCAACTCCATTATCCAGCTTTAATAGCAGACATCCAGTTTTGTTAAAGCTTTGGGATTGGCATATTGTTGTTAAAGCGTGGAAAGATCTCATCTGAAGGTGCAGAAGTTTCAGTCTCATTTCTTCTCTCTGAACTGTATTTAAAACAAACAAACAAACAAAATAATCCGTCAACATTTTGGAAAGAAATAAAATTATTTCCCTCTTATCTAAAAGGTGGTCCATACTACTCTTGCATGTGTTAGAACTCCTTAGCACACGACATTGGCGGGAATAAAAAGATTTTTTTGATCCTACGGAAACACTCTAAGATCAAAACACATCTGTGTGCTCGCAACAAGTGGTGAAAAAATAGAACTGGCTGCTGTATCAATATGCAAGAGGGCATCTTTTCCTCTGGCTGCTCATTCTGTGCAGCAGCCTGCACTTTCAGTAACTCCACTGCTTGTGAGCAAGCAAGCACACACGTTAAAGAGAACGGCAGACGCTGTGAATCACTGTGATACATAGTAAAAGCAGCAATTAGATAACTACGTGGTTGTAGGGGAATGTCACCTGCAGAACACACACACTGCTCAGCCCCAGCTCCAGCTGCTGTGCCACGACCAGCCGAGCACAGATCCAGCCCCAGCCATCTGTCCTGACCACAGGACAGAGAATGGAGCCGACTCACAGCCTTGCTCCTGCCAGTACACCCGGGTGGTGCAGGGACCACCAGGCCGGCCGGCAGAGCCACCCTGCAGCCCGAAACACAACGGTGCCCTTGTGCCGGCAGCTCAGACTAAGAGCAACCCTTCTATATTTGCACTGCATTGTGTGAGCTAATAAAATAAAAATATTCACAGACTCAATACTGCAGTGGATGTGTTCCATTTGCTGAAAAAGCTCAGTGACAAGTCCCTACCCTGATCTGGCTTTCTTAAGAACATTTCCTTTACAACACAAAATCCATCCTCAGCAACTTATTAACAAAAAGTCCTCAAGCTGCCTAGTTCAAAAAACTACCCATTTTAGAATATTTTTCAAAAACTGAAGGAGGATCTTTAATACTAAAAATACATTTAACATAATAGTTCAAACAAACATTTTATTTAAAGAGCAAATCATACTGTGTGCTGCGGAACAAGCCATCCTGACAAGGATACCCTGACGAACTGATACTGGGGCTTAACTTTGTATCTTTACATGCTCTTCACTTGTACCTTTTTTCCCAATTTAGAAGCCCGTTATTGGAATACTTACTGGGATAAAATATTATTTTAATTTTAAACTTGTTCTGTATTTAAAAAGCAATGCTGTCCGGGACAAGGCATATTTACCTTTTTAAAGGCCTGATACCTCCTGGATAAAAAAAGAGCTGAGAGAAACTCAGCAACTGCAACGCAGGTAGTGGAGAGCTGGCGCAAGGGGTAAAGTCTCCAGTAATGTGTGGTAAGTGGCAGAAAGAGATTCAAAATGGTTTTGTTGGCGTTCCTAGCCAACAAAACCTCATCCCGGATCACCTCATCCCGGATTAGTAATGCCAGGAATGAGTTTTCAACTGTACAGGCTTACAGTAAGTTGCAAGGAAAGAGAGATCATATAGACCGAATTCCATCGAGGGGCCGGAGCGCCAGACCTGCGGCACCAGAGGCGCCAAGCCAGGAGGAGCGGAACACAGCAATGCAAGAGGAAAGCGGGACCAAGGGCGACCACAACAGGGCAGGAGGCGCCACCTCCGAGCAGCCGGCACGGAACTGGGATTTATTTTCCAACGTCTCCTCAGCACACGGCACTTTAGCCACGCCCGCAGCCTCTCCAGCCGGGAGGCCCGGCTTGCTGCGGCACAGCCACCGATATATACGGGCAGGGCG